TCAACACCCTGCATATATAGGAGCCATAAATGCTTCGAAAGAGAAAAACTACAAATGTTGTAAGTGAATTAGTAAAATAACACTGGTAACTGATGTCACTAACAGGCTATAAAAGTCTTAAAACTAAGAGTATATGTCATTAATATATTTTCCCCTTTTCATAAACAAAATCTACAAACAGGTGTCCAGTAAAATTCCATACAATAATTAACATTACATAATATGGCAAGCAAAAAAATGATACAATGTGATACAGTTTGTCAATTGATATTTGGTACACATATAAAAACCCATTTTAAGTTAAAAATATAGCATTTATAAAAGAGCACCAAAAAATGACCATTCCAGTGCTGTAAAGCATTAACAGTATTGCACCAAGTACAATGTGCCTTGGAGACAATGCAACTAGAGCAGAACTCCAAAATATAATGCAACTAATCCAAATTAATTTCATTCACAGACTGTAACATCAACATAAGTGTATATCTTTCCATACATAAGCACATGATGTAAAAGACAATACTGTACACATGTATTAAGTCTTCAGACGCTGGAGATCAGATTTAAGTCTATTTAGTTCAAAGTAAATCTGTTTTAAATCTACTGGAAAATTCTACATAATTTAAAATGTTACAATGTTCTGAGGAATTTCAATACAATAATAAACTATTATGAGGAAAGAACAGTGAGAGGTGTACTTTCAAAATAAAACAATAATAATTAACAGGCATTAATGACAAGAGATATAAGACAGTTACCAGAAAATAACTCCTCTTTGTATCAGATGAAAAAATGTTGCAATTGTAAATTTCCATTTCACTGTACAGTGAAACTGCTCCCTCATTACTGATCAGCGAGTTTTGTACTATAATTTGATAGATAATATATTTAGTTTATTCTTTGCCAACACAACATTATTTCCAGTAGATCAGGTTACCATCTAAGAGGACAGGTTTTGGCACATGTGTGCCATCTTCAGGTCCTCTTTTAGAGTCTGATATACAATATAATTTCTTACTCTTGCACTTGTGCTATACACTACTGTTAGTCGTATGTTAAACTACAACACTGCAAAAACATCCTCTGAAATTATCTTTAGCAACTGAAGTAGAAAACAACCCTAGTGTCACTCTGTCCATCATAAATTCCACACAACTTGCTCTGGGATAGAACTTAGGCTGCTGCTGCAGTGAAAGGTTCCTGCTTTCACCACACATCATGGGGGACCATATTCTTTTAGGGGGTCATGGGTATAAGGGTGTTGAACAGCCCATGGATATAGGAGTTCAAGAGAAATGGAACTTTTTAAAATGATTCCGGCTTTGGATTCACATTACATGTCTTGTGCCAATAGAGAGTTACTTTTGTTCCCAGAACTCAGACAAGTTGAATATAAAATGTGTGATTTCAGTCTCTAAAATTTCTAACGAAACTTTCTATCATACCATAAAGTACTCACCTACAGAAAATCTTACTTCTCTTAGCTATACTCCAAAAGAATTTCCAATTGCTGTCTTTGCTTAAATGCTTTCAAGGTAACAGTGTGTAGTTTCATGTTTGGTTTGGTACTCTGAAACTGAATGTTTCATTTGATAAAATATCCAAGGCAACTGGAACTAAAATAGCAAACTGGTATTCATATTACAATAAGACATTCAAAGATAATTCCTGTTTCCAAAGCCAAGTTATTCACAATGTGTCACTAATATAAAAATGAAGCATTATAAATTTATAGTGCTACTGTTCAGATTTAGGGCTGTCATGTAATTGCTCCAAACTCAGTTTCTTTATTACATCTGGGTGTGACTGAGTGCCATGGTACTTCTTATATCAAGCCCATCACTATAAGAAACTTCACATAAATGCTGAGCAGAAATATATGAATAAATGCATTTAAGCCTTACTTACACTGTTATCTGCTTTATAATACCTACAAATTAACTAAGTACCACATTAAAATAGAAAATGTCATACTCATAATTTCAAACATAAAGACACAGTTAACATACCAGCATTATAAGACCTCACATTCTGATAATAAATTACCAAGCAGTAAGAAGCTAACCCAAGACCATCTCAACCCAACAAATGTATGTGAAAACTACTGTGGTGTGAGAATGATATAACTACACATAGATAATGCACATAGTCATAAACTGTCAATAGTTATGTACATACAGATTTAAGGCTACATAACAAACAAAATCCCACAACTCAGGAGACAATAACAATTACACCTTTTTCCAATAGGAACAAACTTCTTACATATCTCCTTTGTTTTAACATGACCATACATAACTTGACACTATAGTTTTCTTTTTTTATACCACTCATTCTGTAAAGTCATGTCCTTCTTATGTGACAGATTACAATTCCAGGACCTAGCAAAAGGCAAGACTGGTGAAAAGTGTAATATTATTTCTCACTGCATAACTGATTCAGTCAGTTGTAAAATATTTTTTATAAGAACCAACACTAGCTAACAATTCTTACCTTTCCTTGTATCTGTCTTAGTAAAGGCCTATAGGTCTTAAAGTGCTTCAAAATTACTGTAAAGCAACAACAGTTCCATGGCAGACTCAGGGAAACTGCAACTTCCATGGGTTTACACACACACCCATTGTCACCAATGTAAAGTGGTGAAAGCAAGTCAAAACAGTAAAATTGGAGACCATCTGTATTGGGTTACAGCAGCTAATAAAACCAAACTACAAGTATGTTCATATATTGCATGTGTAATGTATGTTTAAAATATGTGACTACCTTTCATCTACTCCAAAAGCATGACCCTGGAGAAGGAGACATATTAAGCATAAAATTATCTGTACTAAATGCTATTGTCTAACATTTTGCTTTACACTTCATCCATGAAAAATTACCAATTATCAAATAACTAATAACATTATGGCTCACTGGTCTGAATCTCAAGTCCAAATCCAGTTCCATGTTCATGCCATATCCCTACATCACAGTAAGAGAGGACTTAGTGTTCAGTGACCTAATTTCTGCTCCTATCTAAGATCAGTTCTACATGAACGACAAGCCAAATTATTCTCAATTTTCTTACAAAAAGCATAGTATCTTAACAACATGTTTTGTTGTCTTTATCCAGAAAACATACCAGGAAAACCGATTACAACGGAATATGTTACCTGGAAAAAGAGACATGTTCAGTGGCTGAATCATAGAAATAATCCACTTTCAAACTAACTGGTTCAGTCATGTGTACATTCAGTTATTCACTGCCCACCACATGGTATGGATTGTCCAGGGCAAACAGTCAGTAAACACTGTAGCACAAACAACCCAAAGTGGAAGAATAAAAAAAAAATACACACACGCACCAGTATACATGATATTAGAAGCAACAGCAAATTACAAACTATAATACCAAATACAAACTACGAAGTGAATAACACAAAGAAAGCAATACATAACCAGATGGTCATACAATATGGCTCCTCTATGAGACTGAAACAAAAGTCTCATAACCAATTTAAAATTATAACTCATGAGTGAGGTCACACAAGATTGCTGCCCACTGGAAGGTAGTTACATCAAAATTACTTTGGAAATAAGAACCAGATGATAATTTGGAAAAGCCCCTTCTTCATCAAGTACTGCGCAGGCAGTAGATTTCATCTCCCAAAACCAGCCATCACCAAGGGAGGAGAACAGGAATGAGGGATGCAGGCACTATGGGCTTCATTCATTAATGGGTGACAAAAAGGTGCTGTTCATGTAACTGTGCCATAAGGGCTGCTCAAAATCATCATACACAGCACAGTTAAAATGAATCTAAAGATTTGAGCTGGTCATCAGAATCCAGGTTATTTGTGATCAACTAGCGGCAGTGCCCCTTCCCTTACTGGTCTTATCCTTACTCCTTCCCTTTCAATTTGGCATGTGCTAGCAGATTTCACCTTTCATAATGTTCCTTCTGGTGTGAAGTCTCGAGTAGGACATCCTGGTCTGTCTGCCACTGTTTTCTATATGTACTTTCAAGATCATCTGGATTAGCTAATAATGGATATTAATAAAAGGGATCATCCATAAACCAATTTCAGCTTCGTTGATGCAGATGAAATACAGTACAAGTTTTGGGGCAGAACTACACCATTCATCCATCATGTACAAACAGACCACAAAATACAACAATAACATATTTTACTCTCATCAGTTAAAATAATTTGATCAAGCAAGTAATAATCTATTTTTACTTACTCTTTCACTTCACATCATTATGACTTCTCCTGACTATTTTTATTTACTCTTTCACTTCACATCATTATGACTTCTCCTGATCAAAGACAATATTAAACCACACTGCATCGCTTCCACATCTTCATAATCCCAGGAACTGTATTCCACTTTGAAAACCACAGGGGATCAGCTGGTTACTTATTACTACAAGTCATAACAAGGCAGCATGCATATTTCCACTTCTTCTTCACTGTTTCACATGCAACTTGTGGTAAAATCTTAAAATTCACTTTTTAATTTTAAATTATTTTCATGTCACTGGTACTCTACATAAGTCAACCAATATCATCATCATCATCATCATCATCACCATGTGCTTTGAAAATCTGCTGCTGAAAACTGTGCACTTCCATCAATGAATACAATTCCAAAGTATACCTTCATTTATGCACCCACGTGTTGTTGTACGTCTGTAACATGTTAACAGTAATTATGTTCGTATTTCACATATGGAATGCACTGGTGTTTCTTATAATGTGGCTGGATGTGTACTTTTTTTTAATCTGCATAATGGGGGGTGGAGTCCAGCCGGGTCCACTCAGCACATCGGCCACTGATTGGCCTATTGTACCTGCTCCGGGTGATTATAATGATGGAGAATTTGGTAGAAATGAAGATTCGCAGGGGAAACCAAAGTACTCGGAGAAAACCTGCCCCAGCGCCATTTTGTTCACCACAAATCCCACTTGACCAGACCCGGGCTTCAACCCGGGCCACCATGGTGGAAAGCTAGCGACTAACTGCTTCAGCTATGGTGTGGCCTTGGATGTATACTTAATGCTAGCACTGTGCGATAATTCGTATGTACCGTGCGCAGCCATTATGAGTGTTTATGGAGTTGGGCCCTTCTTATAGGTATACGTTATTATGCAACATTGTTCAGGAAGAACCACAGTCATAATCACAACAGTAGAATACTAACTGAAAGTAAACAACTTTATATATGACAACCAATTCACCCTACTCAACAACAACCCAACACAACACTACCAAAAAACCATAAAACAAAGGATGGGAAGTCATAATGTTTTAATTATCACCATGATAAAATGATCAATTCCAAAATGTCATTCTATATAGGAATAGCCCATTTCCTGAGCTTGCCAAACAGTCAAATTTTAGCACAAGTTGCACGTAACACGGTGAATAAGAAGTGAAAATAAGCTATGTGCAACAGGATGCTTCAGCACAACAGCAAAGATATAATTATAATTATTACTCATGAAAGAAGAAAAAAAAATCTGAAAACCCAACTGTCGGTATTAAAAAGCTGCTCAGTTATAAATATCTGGACCTACACGTTGTACATTTTGAAACCTGTGTTCAGAGTGTAGGTTTTGTGGTCCCTTCCCTCAGTAACCATAACAAATATAATTAGTAACATATTAGTTGCATTTTCATTTTTTATTCTAGTCATAATTAGAACTGTTTTTCACTGATTTCATTATGTTCAAATGATGTTCATCAAAAATTATTAGAGTGATTGTTTTACAGTCAGAAGCAAAGTGTATGTATTTAGTTGATCACTCTTCCAGTTGTGCTCATGTGCTAGCACCATTTACTTTGAAGGGGTCAACACTGACTTACACAGGCTCCAATACTTCCGAATTGTGATAACATATGTATCACTATGTAACACAACCATTATATTTTGTTTACAATATGTAGTTTCACACATATATATTTAAATGTTTACAAACATCTTCTTTGCTCAAACACACAGTGAGTGTGTAAAAAGTTTTCTTCTGCAGTCACTTTCTTTGAATGTTTTGCAAATTTTTAGAACCATCATCTGCGTGCACTAGAGGGTTCTATTGCTCTTGGCCTGATTGTCCGATTGAAAAGTGCATTTGAAATTGCAATAACAGGCGAAAATAACTGTAGAGGATAGTCACTGAAATGAAAGAAGAAAAATACAATTCAGTATGGAGGGGAAGACACTTGGAGAATTTCACGATAGTCACATTCTGGTGAAAAAGCATGGGTTTACATTCAACTGTCAGATAATACAGTATAACCATGACAAAGTTCATTGCATTTATGTAAAAATTTTATATATATAGCAAGATCAGTTTTTCTGGAAAATTTCACAGCAACAGGAAATTACTCGTACCATAAAATGGGCCATGACTGCTTCCTTCCATATTTCTTCCAATTCATTAGGGCATATGGGTCCACAGTAAGACGTAGGGCACGGTGAGAAATTAACAATTTAAAACTAGTATGGTAACATCAGGAAGTGGTGCAGTGATGGTGGATTCATTCATTTAAATGCCAGCTGGCAAATGTGTTATATTGAAGGTTGCAGAGAGAATATTTTGTGTTTATGTGCCTTTATCTGTTTTTAGGCAAGTAAAGTACATTTCTTGACCTGAACTTCCTTTCTTCTACTTTCAAAATAAATAGCAGTACCTCTATGTTTCTCATAGTAGTGGAATGTAGCATTCATGAACTCCAAAATTAAAATCATGATTACACGTATTCCATTATTTTGACATTATGAAATACACAGTCAGCAAAACAGGCATATCAAATAAAAAGGCCAATGAGGAAGTTGGAGGGCAATTGTTTCATATTACATTTGAACAGAGAGCATTTCCATAGTTCTGAGGGCATCTCTGTACCTTTTATGGCAATAAAGGTCATTAGTATGCATATAATTTCAATAAAATTAATTTCAGGTTTTATTATGAGTGTAAGAGGGTAATTATGTTCACATAACTTGATCACAAAACTAAATATAATGATTATGGTTTGTATAAAACTTATACATCTGTAATATTGTCTAAGGTGTCAGAGTAGACTGCAATATTCATAGCTTCTTTTCAGCCAGTAACACTGACAATCCTCAACTGACACAGATCAAGTGGATCTTAATGCAAGACCTTGAACAGCAGTAGTATGTGCACAAGCACAGAGGAAGTGAAGCAGGTCTAATTAGGTCAAAATAAGCTGAACATTTCAGGAAAGCAGAATGTAATTAATACTTTTCACAATCATGATCAGCAATTCAATAATAAATGCATTATAAATTGTTTTAAAACTTGGTGCGGTGCAAAGATACATGTACATGAAACCTAATTTAGATTTTAACAATTTTTGGGTATTACATGACTCATCAGAATGGATTTTATAAATTCCCACTATAGCCAGATTGCACTGTTATGGCTACTTAAAACATCTGCAATTTCCAGTATGAAAGAAAATGATAACGCTAACTCACCAGGCTCCAGTCACAGGATCAGCCTCATTTCCACTTATTATGAATAATGGAAATAGGATGGAAAATACACACCCACTGTAAAAGAATGCATTACAGAATATTAATTTCTTAGGATACAAACTAATTCTCATCTGTCATACATTTGATGATGTTTGGAATCACCTGCTTTAATTTTGCTAATTTAACAACAATAAACATAATTTTTCTTCCAGTCACACATCTTTTTTTTTTCTCCTCTTTAGATCCCTGTTGTTGAAGGTAGTATATTCACTATTTGGAACTAAGAGTTAATTTTAAGCAAAGTTTTCCTGTAGGGTAACTGGTTACAGGAATTTGACAGGTGGTCAAGGGGGGTAGCATTCTACCCTTCAGCCTTCTGAACAGGCTCTGCACTTCCCCCATAACAACTCTATATGGTGATAACCACATGACTTGATTGCCAGAGCCTCCTTTATGTCAATGAGGTCAGTAAGGTGAAGATGAGACATATAAATTGGTAAGGCTACATACGCACATCATTTCAGCAGTTCAAAAACACTCAAGACTTCCTTTATACAAGACAATGGCTCTACTAATTATGTTTTGAAGTGAAGTGTGACCCTATCAAAACATACAAAAGAATATTAACATCAGATGAGATTAATGAGGACTGTGGGCTTTATGCTTTTGGAATCTTAGAAGGAATGCACATACTTCATGAGAGTTACATATTCAGCCTACCACTATATTCATTAATAATTATATAAAAGATTTTTATACGCCTAGTCTAAGGATATGTGACACATGCATTGGAATAATTCTTGGTTTAGCAACAGGTAGTGTGATTATTTTGACTCTTCCTGAAAGTAAGCTAGATAACACATCACCCTAATTTTTTTTAACTTCAGTACTGAAATCCACTGCCCCCAAAGAAACATTAAGAGGATTTTTCACTTTATACAACAGGTATGTCATATACATTACATAAATATGAAGACTTTCATAACTCTTACCTGTTAAAAAATGAACTGGGGAGAGCTGTCAAAACTGCTAGAGGCAATCCAAAGCCTATGAAATATGGCCAATTGCTTTCAATGAATGTCAGCCGCCTGTGAAGTTCCCATCCCATATTGAACCATTTGTACTCAAAAGAGTACAAGGAGTAGAGCATGCACATGTGCACAAGGCACAACACATCTCCAAGGAATACAATAGGTAGCATGCTAACCAGTGTACTCTGAAAACGAAACATTTCATCATTTCCAAACCAAGAAGGTTGATGAAGCATTAATGCTCTACACTTATATTCAGGAGGTGCTTGGACATCAGCTGTCCTGAAGTTTTTCGTGGTTTATCGAAGTCCCTACTACAAATTCCAGGATACTATGATTAAGCCATGAGAGCTACCATCCAGATTCCTTCCAATTCATTATTCACAAATTATGATACCATTCAATGCTATATAGTTGTATACTGACAGCGTCATAACGTTAAGAAAGTCAGTTCCAAGTACATTTCTCTATATCAACACAGAAGAGTATAGCAGCAACTGAAATAGAAAGCAAAATGTCATATAGTGAAAATAAATGCTTTACTACTCAGACTGTCGTCTTCTTGGTCACAACAGCATGTCATGGGAATAATGGGCAGGGCTGCACAAATTCTGGGTACATAGATACCTTGGTAAATCTTTTTTTCTTTTTGTTTAATTTATTTTAAGTTATTAATTTAAAACAAGCTGAATACCAGATTCATTTTATACCTATACCAACTGAAAGAATTAGTTGATGCTGTTGAAGAAATATATCCAGTTAATTCTACACAAGGTTCAAAGTGATATATGTATAAAACATCACTTACACCGTTAAATTTAGTGTCTCAAACTGAGCTGTACATTTTTAAAATGCATTTAAAGTTCCTGTTCCATATTGTTTCGTCCCTATATAGAAGCTTGAAACAGTTAATTAAATATCAACCTCCATGCCTTGCTCATAAAGCTATGAACAATCTTATCCTAATTAAAAACTATACTGACTGTTTTTGCATTAAGCATTTCAGTTCATTATAGGAAGATAATACTAAGATAAACAACATAAATGTCTTAAGTACTGAATGAGATTTACTGGTATTAGTACAATTCCTTACCTGTACAAGGAACAAAGCCTGAACCAAGACACTAAACAGTGTGTCTGCTATCAGTTTGCTAACACTTGACAGAAGCTGTGGTCTACCTCTGCTGTACCGATATGCTGAATCAGCAATGTCCTGCATCATGAACATCAAACAAAATTAAAAGTCTGCTAAACTGTTAGTAATATGAAGTGTAAATGAACATGTCATGGACTCTTCAAGAAATGACATTATTAGTCAATAATAAAAAACTCCCACCTTACCTTTAGCCATATCTGATACCTACAGGGTGTTCCAAAAGTATCTTCACAAATTTGCGAGGACATATACATTTATTTGTAAGTGGTAAATAAAAACCAACTATAAGGGGCAGTAAAATGAAAATGGGTCATCACGCATAACTCACACAGCGTGCAAGTTGGTAATACTGCAATTTGCTTATGGTACGAACATCTGGTGGAGACTCGGGAAAGCACAGTGACAACACTAGCCATTTGTTTATTGTGCTGGAAGTAAGCTTAGCACTATGTGTGGTTGTCCAACATCAGCAATGGAGGCGGGTAAACAAGAACAGCGAAGTATAGTGCGCTTTTTGACTGCTGAAGGAGTAGGATGAGAAATTCATTGTCGCGTGTCTGTGTTTAAGGTGAACACAGCATGTCATGTTCGCGTGTGCTGGTGTGGCATAAGAAATTCCGACAGGGACGTGTGTCACTGCAAGATGATGCTCGCCCAGGACAGGCTCATCGTGTCATCACTCTTGATGTTATTGCTGTGTTGGATGGTCATATCCGGGCAAACCGACGGATCACTGTGGAAGAAATTAGTCTTTTGATGGGAATAAGTCACGGTTCTGTACACACCATTGTGATAAAACACCTGCTATACCGCAAAATCTGTGTGCAGTGGGTTCCACATCAACTCACGGAGGAACAGAAGACTCAGAGAATGGCTGCATCACTGGGTCACTTGCAACGATAACATGAGGAAGAGTATGCTTTTCTGTCCCATATTGCCACTGGAGACGAAACTTGGTGCCACCATTTTGAACCTGAGAGCAAACGGCAGAGCCAACAGTGGAAACACGTGAATTCTCCCCCACCGAAGAAATCCAAAGCCGTACACACAAGTTCTGGTAAAGTGATGATGACATTCTTCTTCGACTGCAAGGGCCCTCTGCTTGTTGAATTTCTCGAGCATGGGGCCACAATCAGTGCACAGCGCTATGAAGACACTTTGCAGAAACTGAGACGTGCCATAAAGTCAGAACGCCCTGGAATGCTATCGAACGGCATTATCCTTCTTCATGATAATGCGCGCCCCCACACTGCCAACTCTGTGAGGAATACGCTACAGAGATTTGGTTGGGAAGTGCTTCAACATCCCCCCTACAGCCCAGATCTCTCCCCATGTGATTTTCACATTTTTGGGGACCTGAAGAGAGACATTCGTGGACATCGGTTTGCACTGGACGAAGACGTGTGTGGCTGAGTAAAGATGTGGTTCCGTAGACAGCGCACATGCTTTTCCAAGGATGGGACTGACCGTCTTATCTCCCAGTGGGATAAATGCATTAACAGTTTTGGAGATTACTTTTGAGGAAAAAATGTTCTTTAATATGTTTTGGCTTCTGACCCGTTTTCATTTGACTGCCCCTCATATATGGAAATGTACCTAAAAATATCAAATTTTGTCTGATGTATCAGAGTTAGAGGTTCAATGTGACTTTCAGATGTAGCATGACAAACACCCCACCAGTAATAAATTTCTTTCTGGGTGTGATGAGTAGTCCAGTGTAATTTTTGCCCACAGATCATCATAACTTGCAAGTAACAGCAGAAAGTACACATTATCCTTAACAAATGCCAACAATAAAATGTCTAGTGGAATTAAAATCAAGGGACTGAGGTGGCCATGATATTGGACCCACTTGGCCCACCCACCAATTTGGAAAACCTGAGTTGAAATACCTGTGCACTTCTCCAGTGAAGTGATAGGGATCACTGTCTTGCTGGAAACATGCTGTCATGCCACAACATGTTTCCTTCTTAATAATCTTGGTCAAACTGTGGGATGCGAAAATTCTGGGACATGTCTCAGTAAACAGTACCAATAATGGTCCTCTCCATGAAAAGAATGGGTCATATATTTCTAAAACTGACATAACAACTTAGAGACTAGCACTTTCCATTCCTATGCCTCATACCCACATACTCGTACTTCTCCGTAAATTAACTGTATAGCCTTTCAAATTCAATAAGGTACTTTTCTAACACCCATGTACGTAGGTAGGCTGAAAAGTAATGCACACATGCTTGTAGAGCGCGAACGAAATGACCTTCAGAAGCGCGCCAGGTGGCATGTGGAAGTAACATTCCCCCTCAATATGCATGCACAGGCTTGAGGTCGTTACGTTCATCCAGTGTATTTCGAGAAGCAGAAGTATGGAGACGTGTTCTAGTGCTATGTCAATGCGAGTTAAACAGCATGCTGTTATCGAATTTTTAACTGCTGAAAAAGTGACTCCTACTGAGATTCATCGTCGTTTAAAGACTGTTTATGGTGACGATGCTGTTGATAGGTCTACTGTAAATCGATGGGTAATAAAATTTCATGGTTGCGAGCCTGGAAAAACCGATAATTGTTGATGAAACACGCAGCGGACGTCCGATCACTGCCACAGACGATAATCATCGCAAACTTGTCGACGATTTGATTCAAAATGACCGGTGAACCACTCAAAAGCATATCGCAAACCATATTGGAATACCCAAGGAACGTGTCGGCTTCATTATTGAACAACTGGGATACCGTAAAATCTGTGTACGATGGGTACCATGCTGTCTCACAGATGAGAACAAACAGTGTCGATTGGAATGCTGCGAGCAACTTTTGCAGCGCTACCGTCACGAAGGAGACGACTTTCTTTTGAATATTGTGACGGGGGACGAGTCATGGGTCCATTGTTACGACCCGGAAGAGAAAAGACAGAGCGCTGAATATTGACATCTGTCTTCTCCTCAGGTGAAAATGTTCAAAACACAACCATCCGCCAAAAAACTTCTTTTGACTGTTTTGAGATGCTCACTGAGTTTATGTGACCGATTTTCTGGAATGAGGGGCAACGGTAAATTATTCTCAGTACATACAGACTCTAAAACACCTCCGGCGTTGAGTTTGTTGTGTTAGAGGCAGCCTGGCACCAATAATCTTGCAACATGACAACGCTCGTCCACACACCTCACGTGCAACTGAAGAGGCTCTGCGAAACCTGAAGTCTGAACCGATTCAACACCCTCCTTATTCCCCCGATCTTGCATCTTGCGAATTTTATTTTTTCCTCTACTCAAGAGAGACCTCAAGGGTAATCATTACACCTCGGACGATGAGGTGAAGGCAGCTGTCAAGTCCTGGATTTGAGAAAAGTCGGAAGAATTTTTCAGTGATGGAATGAAAAAACTTGTTACACGTTGGGAGAAATGTGTTAGCCTTAACGGTGACTATGTTGAAAAATAAATATATGCTTTTGAAACTTAAGAATTGTACTTTAATGTACTTTTTGCCCGATCTTGCTATTTGTTTTTGTTCGCGCTCTACAAGCATGTGTGCATTACTTTTCAGCCTACCCACGTATTTTGGAAAGTAGCTCTCCTACTTTTTCAGTTACAGTGAGTCACAATTTTCCAGTCAGTTAAAAGCCTAAAAATAAATTCATGATAAAAAAACAAAACAATTACATTTTCACTGGATTAAAATCCCCTATCTGCAAGAAAACATATGAATTACACAATTACTGGATCAATTTTAACAAATTGAATGCCCTTTCAAAACTTATACAAGATACTGACTTATAAAACCAATCTCTCAAAATTTATTTAAAGCCGTATAGGCCTGTCTCTAATGCTTCTTATTTGCTGCATCACAATTCAGTCACATGTCACTTGAGGCACTAGCTGGGCACATATCAAGTGGTAAGCACCCTGATTTTGTGCACCAACAAGCAGCAAACTGTTGCAACATGAAGGCAGACAGAAGGTGTAAAAGCGACTGAAATCCACCATCAATTGTCATCTCAGTATGGTGAAAACTATAAGATACAGCATAATGCATGAGTAGGTATTGGAGGTTTAAAAACAGCAGAAAATGTGTCACTGGTGAGTGAAAGGAGTTCCCAGAACTTCAACCAATGATGACATCATTAAGAAGATGGAAGCAAATGTGTGTAAGGGACAGCTGAACTTCATATTAATCTAACTATAAACCTTTGTTTTCATAAGTACTGCAAACTGTGTAGAAATTCAGATTTTAAACCAATTGGGATTTGCTATATGGCACAATATCATAATCATGGGGATGTTTCCTAAGTAGTAGAATCACTAGAGACAAAATGTGGACTCATATCACTAAGGTTCTGAAAATAAACAGAGCGAGGTAGATCTCTTAAAGGTGTTCTCAAGCTTCAGGGCAATGTTTTACCACATACAGCTACTGTAGCAATTGAAATTTATAATCAGTTAAAATTTTGAGGTGCTTACTCACTCTGAGTTTCATACCATTTGACTGTTACTGTTTTTGAAATATTAAGGAGGCTTCACATGCTCATATATTTTCATGTAAAGCAAGCAGTGCATGCATAGCTGCAGGAGCAACCCTGATGTTCATTCAAAGATGTCACCAATAAGCTAACTGCACAAAAGAATGGGGATATTCAAAGGTAGCAAGATAAGCAGGAAAACAAGTATAAATGCTTCCTGTTTCTACAGTCTCTAAGAACATTTTTAAACTGTCTGCAGTCTTTAACTGCTGTGAAAAGTATGACCTTTAATGTTATTTACAGTTAATTTTTCATGAAATGTTTTACCATAAGTATTCATTACAAATTTTGAACCTTCTTCAGCACATAAATATAAATCTAATAACAAAAAGACCCATGTGTTATCCACCTCCTACTCGAGAATGTGAGTGACAGACCCCTGGAGTGTATGCAACCTGATATGGGTACCAGCAGAATGGGATAACATATTGTAACCTAACACATAACCAAACTATAAATATTCAGAACACCATTCAGTGGCAGGGAAATAATGCACAGCAACTATTTAAAATTAACACAGAGCAATCTCATCAGAGGAGGTCCCAAATTAAAAGTTACAAGTAACACAATAGTTTATTAATGAAAATGAAACTTGGTGAGTACACACTGGCAGATGTGAAGACAACTGGATTACAGGCAGCACTGAAATTGGTTTTCCTCTGCCTGGAGCCACATGCTGATCAATCGTATGCATTACTCCACTGTACATACACATGGAATAACATACTTAAGAAATGTCAGAATTGGTCAGGTAGGCAATTCGTCAGTGTCGAACAGTACACAGTGTTGTGAAGTTTCATTTTCATCAGTAAATTACAGTGTGATTTGTAATTATTAGTAGGCCTCCTCTGCGTGAATCATCCTACAGAATATAAATATAATGAAGAACAAGAAATCATAATTACCTGAAACCAGAGGCTATTCACAATTTTGCTAAGCAGGAACAATGGAAGCACCCAAAAGGCACCAAATGTCCAAGACAGAAAAAGTTTTATCCATGACCAGAGAGATTTTCCTGTACTTGAAGAGTGGCCAAACAATACTGTAAGCAGGTACTTTAACAGTGGGAGAAGACCACACTCAAAGACATACAGGCTGCACCAGAATACTCCACCATTTAGTGCACAACACTGTAAAGTCCTCTTCAGAACTTTTGGTTCTCTAAAAAGGAGAATAAAATGTAGAAAACAAACTCCAACATGTTTACGTAACATTATCCAACCACAACTGTATTAAGTATTGCTACAAAATGACTACGTACTCTTCTCGCACTGATGATCTTGATATTTCTCGATGCAATTCTTTTCTTCGACTAGGGGTATTATGATCCTTGTTTGGAGAAGGTATTGCCCTCTCCTTAATATTCTTGTCCAGATAAAATATTGCCACAGTTCCCTTTAAACTATCTCCAAAACCACGTAGAGCAGCAAAAATGATTGCCTGAAAAAGCGCTTCTTATGAAATAATAATACATATTATAAAATTCTAAAGAGCTGTCAGTTATGTTTTTTCAGAAACTTTGAACTGTGTTTATGAAGTGGGGAAAACACTGACTTGCATCGAATGAAGGAATGTAAACAGTGCTGTTACAATGTTAATTTCTGAACATATGAATATTATAAACAAACAGCAACACATGCCAATAAATATTTCAAATTCCATACCCAGAAGCACATACTCATACATACAGCCACATAAAGAATGTTGAATAAACAAATTCTCCTGCAGATCCATTAATATTCATAGGAATAATACAATAAAAAAAAAGGCACCACATAACTCTGCAACATTAATAGCAATGATTCATTCTACTTGAATGAGCAAATTTCACAGTGCAATTAATGAGTATATCTACCACTGAAACTATAACAAAGCTTCGAACACAACATAACTGACAGATATTACAATTCGGCCAAATAATGTAACTCACTGTTAAGTTATCCATTTAATTTTACAACCACTCTATACACTCTATTACAGCTCTAGTCGCTGCAGTTATCACAAATACAGCAATATTCAATTTTGCTTCTTATCGATAGTTCTTATCGTTCTTATCGACTATGGAGAGTCGGCGTTATAATGTCAGGTTACTTCTACAACTTTTTGTTAGAGTTCTTAATATTGAGTGTATGAGTGAATTATACTAGACTATAATACATAATGCAGAAATTTGTTAGAAGCTTCACTGTTTATGTTACTATTTATTTTAAAAGACAACTAACATTTATACGGTTATATATCGAAAGTTGAAGAGCACAATCGATGTATCAGTTAATAAATAGGCAAGATCAGCTGATTTTAGGAGGTGTATGTAAATTAAAGGAAGGCAGTTTGTTATATTTGGATTTTGATCATAAGAGGATTAACTAGTGATGGTCATATATGGAGTATATATTGTTTCGAAATCCGGTGGATTGATTTTTAATCATGATCATAATATTCCGAAGACTGAGACAGAGAAAACATTTAGTTTTCCACTAGATATAAAGTTGCAGTATGAAAACAAAAAAGTTGTAGTTGCTTTTGGACAAAGAGATGGAATAATGGGTATGTTAAAGTTATTTTTTTAGAAATTTCAGCACCTTTTAGGCAGTTAATTTTGTGTTATGCATGTCGCGATAATTCTTTAGATAACGGACTGAATAATTGTGTTTTTTTTTTTCAATTAAAGGATGGCATTGCTTTCTGTAGAAAATAGATGGTACACGACACCAATACTACTTCCTATTCTTATTACCAATAACAGCAACTACTATTACTGCTGCTACTAGTACACTATTCTGAATTTAAGCTGGCATGATGTAGGAAGTGACAATTCTTCAGATAAATTTACTAAATAAACATTAACTGTAGCCCAAACTTCTAGGACCACACAGACTCTCCTTTCCTGCCTCAGTCTGTTAGTTCCTTCAAAATCTGTTTGACAAGTAAAAAGTGAAAAGTGGCATATCACTACTACGGACAGCTACTGCTGAAAACTTGCAACTCTGAAATCTTTTTCTTCATCCTTTGATGCTGTCGCTTTACTGTGGATCGTCTGACTGCTAAAAATGATGAATTAAATATTCAGCAGTTAAGAGAAAAAAGAGTTGTATAAGTAGAGAAGCAAATGTTTTAAGTTCAGTTTCTAAGTAATGTACAGCAGTTCACAGAAGAGCAATGTTTGCATCTTTGCACACAATAAAATAATGATCCTACCTAATCTAGAGGTATTATAACATCACTACTATACTATCCTAAAATATGTTATAGTTTCTAAAATATTTTCATTTATATATTTATACCTTTGGCATCATAAAATACTGACAGAACTCAAAAGTACGTTTGAGTTAAAACCTGTGAAATAAGTCACAGCAAAATATCATATGTGAATGCTATTCTGTGGATCATGATAATTTACTTTTTAATAACCAAGATAGCTGATGAAAAATTATGCGGATGTTTGATTGTTTGTTGTCAAACAATGCTGATTCAACTGAAGAAGTTTCTTAATGTCGGATGTGAAGATCACCGCGAATGGTAACTGAGAAAGAATATGAAATGACTTATTTGGAACTGTTAACCCTTCCTTCAAGTGGGAGGGAATGAGAAAGACCACAGAATAACTCAGTTATGATAGTTGGTTTGAAACCTAGATTAATAATCACTTGAGCAGTTTAAATTTTAGTTTTTCATGCATTCTTTCACAGATGGCCCATTTCTGTCTTTTGCAACAGGAGAAGCTGTGTAGAATATTGTGAAATAAATGTAATTGGATGCAAGGTTTGTTGCTGCTAACTTAGTGTAGAAACAAAGTCAATTTGTATATAAGACCATACTTTCTTGTTTTAGTTGGCCATGTGCTTACAGCAGTAAATGGCACTCCAGTGACAGGACGACAGCTGGATGATGGAAAGGATGTATTTGATGTTCTCGAAAATGAGGAATTATTTCCTCTGAACCTAAAGTTTGAGCGTCCGAAGATGACGACCAATGAGAAGATATTTCTAGCCAGCATGTTCTATCCACTTTTTGCAATTGCCAGCCAGTTAAGCCCAGAGCCCAGAAGCTCTGGTATTGAAGTCCTGGAAGCAGACACTTTCAAGCTACACTGCTTTCAGACGCTTACAGGTATAATTTGAGCCTACTTGCATTTCAGTTCTTTAACCAAAAGTTATTTTGCACACAGTTATTTCTATATTATTCAGTAACTTTGTGTTTTTTAGTTACTTTATATCACAAACTTGTTGCAACAGTGCCAATAGATGGCACTAAATGAGAGCTGCAAGGGATAGAGATGTGATCTATAACCTCTCCTCTCCAGTTCCTAACCTTACCTACAAGCAGTGTATCCTTTTTCTCTGGACAACGCTCTGGGGACTGAGCAATGGTAGTATATCTGTTCCAACTTTTACAGATGAGCTGCTGTAAAAACAAATGGATGATGTAGGATGCCACATTGCATATACTGATAATGGTGCCCACATAAAATGACCTAGACCAAAGTTCAAAAAACATTCCTATAATGAATTTGCCATGGATCTGCCCATAATAAAATATTTTAGAGGTTAAATAGTTCCCCATTCAGATCCCTGGGTGGGGATTACTCTGGGAGATCAAAAGCAGAAATTCTTCATTGTTATTAAATCATACTATATTAGGTACTGTGGTTATTTAACTTTAAATATAACTGGATGATCATATTCTGTGAACATGAAAGGGATAGAGAGAGAGCGGTTGTGGCTTCTTTCAAATACTATCTTGGCATTTGCCTGGAGAGACTGGGGAGAACAACAAAAAATCCAATGCAGGCACACCTCAGCTAAGATTATAATTAAACTGCTACTGAATATTTGTCAGAAATGTTGTTACTTAGCCATCTTGCTCAATAACCATCCTGCTATTTAAGTTCCCAACTGATGTGATATGAATATGTAGAGCAACATATATTCTCTTACAGTCCCAGCCAGCCTGGAGATATTGGAAAGAAAGAGATTCATTTTTGAAAGTAGAAAGATGATGTCTGACATACTGGTTACTGGCTGCTTTGTTTCAAATATTTACTTGATCTGAACTCTGTTATTTAGTGCTTTTGGTTTCATGTCAGTAGTTCCTGGAAACATGCAAGTTTCTGTCATGGCTAACCCAGTAGCAAGTAGTACAGTAATGCCATGCCTTGTGTAAGGTAAAGGTAAAAAGAACTGTACTTCTTTTGGCTTATTTTAGACCTCATCCATTATCTGGTATGTAAAAGACAAAAGACAACGACGTTTCAGAGACTGGATCTGTCTCTGTCTCTGTCTTCAGGTGGGTAGGGAAGGATAAACCAACTCAACTGGGCCCCTTAGAAAGAGCTGGTCTCAATCGCTGGACCAGTGTCTTTTACATTCCAGACGATGGATGAAGTCCAAAATAAGCCAAAAGAAGTACAGTATACACCATTGTCAGAATCCTTTCAAGTGTAAAAAGTACAGTTAGCTGTGTGCTTAATTAATTTATTAAGCACCACACCATGAAGATGTATGAGGGAGTGGAAGTATAGCTCCACCATTCTTGACCTCATCATTAAATGGAGGTGAGTGCTTAGCTTCATACACCAGCTGATTTACCACCAGGGAAAGAGCCCATTGGTTGGGAGGCTGGGTGGGCCCCAGAGCTTATCTGGATGCTGTGGAGTAGGGAAAACCCTCTTCTTGCCCTGTCAGGAATTAGATCCTGGCCATCCAGCCTGTAGCTCATCTCTATGCCAACTGAGCTATCCGAGCTCTGCATACTAAAACACAGTATCAAAGGTATTTAATTTAATTGGTCTGATACAGAGAATTCAGATGGCATGAAAAAGAGTTGATCCACTGGATTATGTTTTGCCTCTCTCAAGGTATATTATCACTTGTGCAAATTAGCAGTCAGAATTAGTTTTGTTCAATATCTGGCAAATGTTAAACATTGACGCTGAAAGTGATTTTTTAGGCTTATTTCATATGAGCAGTTCATTGTGTTTGCCTGTCTTATCCACTGTGAAAGAATTTTTATGAAAGTTGTTAAATTTGTACACAGTATGACTCCAATCCAAATTGTTCTAGTCTTGAAATAAGTGACCCAAATTTGGTTTAGGAATGTTTTAGGAGTCCAGGTCCAAAGAAATGTTATTTGGAGCACCAACTTTCTACATACTCCTACAGCAAAGAAATGATTTAGCAGACTTCGTCACTTGTGGTATTCATATTGAGACAGGGCACAAAGGGTATGTGTGTAGTGGCATAGAAACTGATGATGTGTTGCATAAATGAGGAGACACCCAATTATAATGTTCTCAAAAATGAGAAGTTCATTTTACTTTTTTGTAAGATAAGGTTTCAAAATAACACAGCATAATTCATTTATATGAAAATATAATTATCATCTATCAGTTCAGACCAACATAAGCATGTAAAATTAAAAATTCTTTAATTATGTACATTTAAAGATGAAAAGTAGTGATATACCACTCAGCAATCTCAGACATGCTTATATATAAACTTTACTGATCGTGCAATATATACAGAACTCTGTTATATATATCCTTACACATATTTGTTTCCTTTTGTTCCAGGAGTAAAGTTCATGATTGTGGCTGAACCAAACCAAACAGGAATGGATGTACTGCTGAAAAGAATTTATGAACTATATGCGGATTATGCTTTGAAAAACCCATTTTATTCATTGGAAATGCCAATCCGATGTGAACTGTTTGATACAAATCTTCAGAATTTACTAGAACAAATTGAAAAATCTGGCATTAGTAATGTGTGAATGAAGATATTCATGTTTAGGTGTACTGAACAGAAGTTGTATAAATTTATGTCTTTCTTCAAAAGCATTTATAGAAGACAGTTTCATTATTTTCAACAGAAAGGTATTTACAAGGAACTGTGTAATTTATTTATTGTTTTCTTTTGTAATTTTAATAAACCCTTTCATTCTGTTGAAATGTTTGCATATCATTTATTCTTATCATAGGAACACTTTACAGCATGCCAGGCAATGAGGGTATTGCAGGGAATGAAACCACAGATCAACTGGCAAGAACAGGATCTGAACATCTGAACCAGCTTTTGGCATCTCAGTAGGAGAGTATTGCAAAGAATGAAACCGCAGATCAGCTGGCAAGAACAGGATCTAAACAGTCGTTCATAAGACCTGAACTGGCTTGCGGCATCTCAGTAGAAGAGTATTGCAGGGAATGAAACTGCAGATCAACTGGCAAGAACAGGATCTGAACAGCCATTCATAGGACCTGAACCAGCTTGTGGCATCTCAGTAGGAGAGTATTGCAGGGAATGAAACCACAGATCAGCTGGCAAGAACAGGATCTGAACCAGCTTGCGGCATCTCAGTAGGAGAGTATTGCAGGGAATGAAACTGCAGATCAGCTGGCAAGAACAGGATCTGAACAGCTGTTCATAGGACCTGAACCAGCTTTTGGCATCTCAGTAGGAGAGTACTGCAGGGAATGTAACCACAGATCAGCTGGCAAGAACAGGATCTGAACAACCGTTCATAGAATCTGAACCAGCTTGTGGCATCTCAATTGGAGTTGCCAAGAAAGTGCACAGGGACTGAACAGATAGAAATCACAAGAAACACTGGGAATCCACAACTGGACTCAAACAGGCAAAATGATTTACATCAGGACCCTCTGCCAAAAGAACGAAGCACCTGTTAAAATTAAACAAAGATCAATTAAGATGGGTGGAAGGATTACTTACTGGACAATGCCACCTAAAAGGACACCTTTCCAAACTGGGATTGACAGAGGACCCAACTTGTGAGAGGTGCCTACAAGAAGATGAATCAGCCACACACACCTTATGTGATTGTGAGGCTATAGCTTACCTGAAATATTGCCATGTGGTTCAGTTCTTCATGGAATGAAGTGACTTTTATGACGCCCCCGTAAATAAAGTCCCACATTTCATTAGAAGTATAGGATTAATAAAGGGTTAATCCAAAGGGGAAGCACAATTGATCATTGAAGGTCGTGGTGGGAGGGCCGGTTTTTATGGCTCACCCCTCGTACTCGTACAGCATCTGACTCAGATCTGTTTTTTTGAAAGTGGCATGATTCCCAGAAAATCTGCTGTGGACACAGGTTTCAATGAATGTAGTCTATTTTTTATGGACACAACTTATCTCACACTTCATTAAACTTAAGTCCTGGCAGGTTTTTCACAATCTATACTTTTACTCAGTTATAAGGACAGTACTTAGTAGTCATTTAAAATTTGATATTTTTACAGATGATTGAACTTATCGTTGGTTATAACATAAACTGTATTTCAGTGTAAGATGTAACATAAATCTGTAGATTTCAAGTACAAGGTCACTTACAATTATTATGATTGGAACACATTTCATCTTCATTTTTAGCTACAGTAGAACATTGAAGCCCATGAAATCTTCTGAAACCAGGAGCTAAAACACATATAGTTTGATTTGTTTCATTCTGGTCCGTCACACTAACAATTACAAATATAAATCACTCCGTCCAATGTGACCTGTAAGTTTTTTTACTACATGAAAACTTAACACCCTTACATGTTTCGGTCTCTGTGGACCATCTTCAGAGGGCAAACATCACTACAAATAGGAAACCACCATCACATAAGTTTTTACACGTAAAGTACGTACACTTATATGCTACAACACAAAGTACACTAGATAGAACATTTCACAAACACAGCAGTTTCCTGGGAATGTAAAGTTTTTT